TTCTGGGTTGCTGAAGAGAGGGCAGCTCTCGCTTTCCTGGCATTTAGAGGACTCCAGCCACAGACCAGTGGGGAGAGTGACATTTTGCTAGGACCTTGACCACAGGACATTTAAACCTTCCTCAACCACCTAGAAAATCCCCCATCCACTAGAGCTGTGGCAGTACAGGTGGGCAATGGGCAACGTGCATAGGTGGGCAGAGCCTCAGTCCTTAAAAGCTATGCGGCCTTGGGCAAATCTCTTCTCTCCCTGGGCCTCAGTTTTCTCAATGAGATCCAGGGATTCGAATTAGAAGTGTTTAGTGTTAGTTTCCTTCTCTTAGGCAGCTCAGTGTGTCACAAGGCTGAGGCAGAGCAGATCCCGCTGAGCACTTTCCCAGGGTGACCTCTAGCCAGGGATGCCTATGGGAGGGCTAGTCCACTACACGCAGTTTTGCTTAAAGGGCTCTCTACTCATAAATCTGCCCAGGTGCATGACTGCTCACCTTCTTCTGAGCTCTAGTTGTCTGAGCTCAAAGACCCTGTTATGTAGCAGCACAACTTGGAAAGATTCTCAGGAATACTTCTATTGGTCACTTTAAGGAGAAAAACAGAAGAAGACCCAAGCCAAAGGCATTAAGGAAATTTTTATGGCAGGGCAAGGTGACAAGGTCCTGAGTGTTACCTACAGGATTTTGCAGTAGCCTGGGGATCACATGGCACCCCAAGCTTGGAATCAGAAGGAGAGGTAGGGGGCCAGTTTCACCTACTTAGCTTTGCTAGGACTGAGTCTTGTAGGAACACCTGTGTACTAGACAGAGTGGCTGCATGTGCGAGCGGGGTTTCCTGGTGGCTCACAGCAGAGGCCAGCCACCTCTGTTCTCTTGATTCTTGGGTTCCCATAGGTCAGCTGCAGGTGATCTCATCTAATAGCCCAAGGCTTGGGAGGCTGGAACCCCGGATTTGCTCCCCACTGAAGCTCTTAATTTTCCCCAGCAAAGCACAGTGCCTCAGGCCACAGGCCACACCCCCAGAAACCAGCTGGTTACCTTTGGCATCAAACCAGGTGAGTTAGGCAGTGCGACTCAAGGAAGGATCATCCGACTCAAAGGACTGAAAAAAACTGAATGCACGTTTTTAACTTGATTTTGGGAAGTATGGAAGAAATATTACATTATGGAGAGTTTAAAGAAGGTGCCACCTTCTCATGCTTCATGTCTCTGTTTTAAATGCCATTTTTTCCAGGGAGGCTTTCCTTAACTACCCTTTTAAATTGGACCCTTTGTGTTCCTATTTTTTAACAAACACTTACCCGGTCTTTTCATGTGCTAGGCACTATTCTAAATGTTGTGAGCATTAACTCACTCAGTCCTCACAAGAGCTTTGTCAGGTCTTCTTACTGCCTCTATTTTATATCTGTAGGGGAGACTGAGGCACAGAGGGGTCAGGGAACTTTCCTAGGGTTGTACAGCTGTAAGTGGCAGAGCTGGAATTGGAACCCAAGGAGTGTGGCTTCAGAATCAACAGTATACACATCATGCCCTGCTGCCCCCCAATCACCTCTTTAGGTGCATTTTGCTGGTCATCTTTCTCCCAGATGCTGAGCCTCTCACCCTGGTATCCACCTTGCCCAGCATAGCACCTGGCGCACAGGTGCTCAGTTCCTGTTTGTCAGGTGAACGAATGAATTCATGAGAAAGGGGGAAGCTTCCCACAACCTGACTACCTTGCATGATAATTATGAGAATTTTGACAGATTGCAGAATTTCACACATAGGTCAGGAACTGCTCTTCCAAGTCCTGTTGTCTTGTCATTGTAAGACAGGAAAGCCCAGTTGTGCCAGCACACCTAGGGCAAGAGGTCAGCCAGGTGCCTCTCTCAGAGCCTGGCTCCTGGTTGGCCTCCTCAGGTCTCACTCTCTCCATCTCCTCTTTGCTCGCTCCCTTGCTGTCTCTCCAGGTCTCCTTGTCACTGTCTGCCTGTCTCGTTCACTTGTCTTTGTTCATGCCTTGCCTCTAGATGCTCTCCGAAGCTGCTGAAGTTTGAGGACCTGCAATAGCAAATTTACTTTATCATCACTATTGGGCAATTTAAAATAAACATTAGCATAGCTGGCAAAAGTGTAGGCAGGTGGTTACTCTGGAATCCTAGAGAAGCAGGATGAAGTTGAATCATCTTTTTCATGTGGCTTCAGAGGCTGCTGGAATCCTGGGTTCTGCCTGATGCCTGTGGTGGTGCCGAGGAATGGTGTATTAGTATGTTTTGTGTTACTATAACAAAATATTGGAAGCTGGCTAACTTTATAAAGAAAACAGATTTCTTTTTCTCATAATTTTGGAGGCTGAAAGTCCAAGATCAGTGGCTTCCTTGGTGAGGGCCTAACAGCTATGGCATCTTAGCAGGAGAACATTGGAGAATAAGAGATTATATCATCAGACAAGAAGACAGAACCAGGAGGAGAACTAACCCAGGGGTCCCAGGAAAACTTCTTCAATCCTCTCTGAGGGCAGTGTTCCCAGTGACCTCTCATTAGGCCCAGCTCTACACCATCACATGGAGGACCAAGCTTCCAACATAAAAATCCTTGGGGGATATACCACATCCAAACTGTAGCAGGTGGTTCTGGGATTTAGGTCCCCACCCAAATTTCCATTGGCCCCAAATGCACATACATACATAGCCAAAAATAACGTGTTTGCCATGAAAACACAACTTTAAGATGAATTCCTAGGCCTTACTTCCATCCATTGCCTGCCGGTCCCCTACATACAAACTGTGCTACACACAAACTCGACAGCTCAACGGGGTCCATCCAGTCACCTCTGCTTTGCTAATCGCTGTCACTCACGTCTTAAGTAACGAGTGGCACTGTAGGGCTACCAGGTTCCCTCGTCCTCATTGATTACTACTTGTCCCAGACACGTGTTGACAGTTCATCTACCCATTGGATGGCAATCTGAAGCAGCTGGTGGCGGGGACTCAGGAGGCACGATCCTCGTCTTAAGGAATTTCAGACGGGAGCTAAAGAAATAACTGGATGGAAAGTTAAATGGCAGTCCTGGGGTTAACGAAGCTGTGTTGGCAGCAACAGACCATCAGTGATGGCTGTGATGTGTCAAAGGCACATGGGACAAATATCTAGGACTAAGTCCATGGACAGGGCTCCTGTGGGCTGGAGGTGAGCAGTAGATGGCCATCCAGCCATCAAGGATGGTGGGCAGAGGGTATTCCAGGCAGAGGACCGGCAGAACTGGATGCGTAGTCTGGGACTTTGTGATGAATGGGCTCAGCTGGCAGTTCTGACAAATGTGCCCAGGCAGGCCAGGCAGTGAGTGTGTGACGCTGGATGTCAAGGCTGCCACAAACTTCAAAACAGAAAGCCTGGAAAGACAATGTAGCATTTGGCCTTCAAACCAATGTGGAGAAAGAAATTACACTCGGCCATTTCTAAGACACATTCAGTAAGATCAGGTATGAGTGACCACCCTAGGCCTTGCTCCTGAGGCCAGGAGAGAATCCCTAGGATGGAGGATGGAGATGCATCATCTTCAGGTGCCGAGGTCCCCTTGGGAGGTGAATCCAGGCCTAGCTGTGCTGGGCCAGTTGCAGAGCCCTTCCAGGCTGTGGTTCTCTGCTGAAAAGACTTGACCTTGGTTTCTCAGGAAGACATGAGTGGTAGAATAAGCTGTCCTGGGAACAAATTCCTTGGGCCAGTCTCTCCCTCAGTCTCTTGATCCTGTCAGGCCTTTGGCCACCAGTAGTAGTCCAGTGACATGTGGGGCCTACTTCAAACAGCTGTCTAATGCTGGGCTTATCTGTCCTCTGTCCCACCAGAAAACAATCCATTCCAAAAAGAATTTTCCAGGCTGGCCTGAACCCTGTTGTTCAGTTACAGTGTAACATCCAGCATATAATGAGCACTCAATAAATATTTGGAGCTTCTTCCCCACCCTCCAATCCTCTGTACCACAACTGCACCATCTCTCCTCTGGGGCTCTGGAGGAGCCATCCCTGTTAGTATCCTCATTCTGGGCCCCTCCACCTTCCTCCATGCATCTCCCTCTACCCTTTCCCCACCCCAGGTCTCCAGTACCCCACCTACTGGGACTCCCACCTTGCTGGCTGGTCCCCACTGTGGCTCTCTGGGAAGAGCTTAGAAGGGGAGAAAACCCATGTGGACCCTGACTGGGGAGAATTAGAACAGTGGAGTTCTCTGTCCAGACAGGCTGGCAGGGTAGAGAAAGCTGCTTGAAATACAATATAATTTATCTGTGTATGTATAGGTACTGGTATCTAAGTTTATCTGTGAGTCACTGTTGCGTGTATGTGCTGATATATGTCCCTTAATGGATTTTTCCCCATACTCTCTACTTTTGCCTCCACCAGCATGCCTTGGGTTGTATAGTCCCAGGGGCTGGGAATCAGGTCTGTGAAGGGACCCTCAGAAGGTGAATCCCATCCCTCCCCAATACCAGAGGATTCAAGTGGAGGCAAGACAACAACTTGAACTCGTGGGGAGTGTTATAGCATCATATAAAAAGCAGAAGTTTCTTTAATCACACCGAATCTGAACCTAGACTTGTAGCCTCATGGTTACAAGTGACCACAGATGGGTGAGTATTTAGGGGGTTACTCAAAGATAGCCCATGGGTATCCCTAGTTTGGATAAAGAACCTGCCGAACTAGGTCCATCTTGCTGTGCCTGCTCATCTGGCCTATTTTCCAGCTACTAACAGCTAGCATGACCTGTTCTAAACATCTGGCACTAACTGCCTGCTTAATCACCTTCTCTTTGGCTTCAAACAGCAGTGAGGCCCCACCTTCTCTCCACCGCCCATCCATTTGGGATCCCTCCCTCCCCATTTTCTTCCTGGACAGATCTGGATGCACCAGATCCACAAGTCCTGATGTCTTTAAAAGAATCATCCTGGGTACTAAGGCTCATCTGAGGGTTGTGACATCCACCTTGACTCTAGTGGAAGTCCAATAGCCAGTCCCCTGTTGGCCTACAACTGGGCACCATGAGGGCCTGTGTCCCCCTGACGGTGGCTGTGCTCTGTGGCCTGGCCTGGGCTGGTGAGTCATTATCTGTTCAACATGGGAGTTTGGTGGTAAGGGTCTTGCCTAAAGAACAGAGGGTTGGAGAACTTGGCAGTGGGTGAGGGAAGTGGGACAAGGGAGGGTGAACTCTGTCCTAGAGCCATGCAGCACTTTTGGTCTGTCGAGTGCAGGAGCTGTCTCTGGAGTGGGCTAGGCCGTGTGGGGAAAGTTGCAGGAATGATGGACCCGTTTCATGGTGGCTCCTTCTTGACACCCAGAAGGATCAGTTCCAAACATCAGTAGTTGGGGTAGATTTTGGATCTCACAAAGACTATATCTTCTGGGGCCACTATATGATGTAAAACTGGGGCTGTGGTTGCTGAATTTGGGTGGCTTGACTGTCTGACCTTGGTCATTCCCTCTACTGCTCCTGGAGAGCCAGTGAGGTTATCAGAGTGTGAACTTTCTGTGGGTAAAGCCTTAGGAGATGGGCTTTACCCCGAGGGCCCCTGACCTGAAGGTGGGTCATATCCCATCTGGGGCTGGTCAGAGGAATGGCTCTTGGTCCCAGTGTTAGGGGGCCTTAGGAGTAGAGAAGGGGCCTGGCCCACAGTTGCTAGCGGTGTAAGGGATGGCACCAGGGAGGAAGAGAGCACTTTGCTGTTAGTAACCATGCAAAGGTCTGCTACTGATGTGTTAACTGATAGTTAATGGGTGGGGAGGGAGAAGTGTCGAGGGAGGAGGCCCATCTGAGAGGTGTGGGCGGAATCCTCCTCTGCCCGAGGAGAAAGAGTCAGAGCTTGATGCCCATTCCACCCACCCAGGTTGCTCCTGCCTGGATCAAATAAAATAATGTGGAGAAACACCCAAGGAGAGGTGAGATCTCAGAGAATTTGACTTCAGTTAGCATCGTGATTATAAATATTTCTGGGAGGAACTGACTCTTGGGGCATTTTCAATCAGGCTATGGATAAGAAGTCCCCTAATGGGATGCCTGAATGGAAAACCCTGGGAGGAAAAAGCCCCAGGCCCTCAACACTGGATGGGACTATGTACCTCTGCCCAGGACCCAACTCTGTCTGGCCCTGGGTGGTGGAGAGGGTTAGGGGGTTTGGGAACCTCAGCCTCAGGCCAGCTGGTATGGAGGAGAAAGGGGAGTTCCTGAGCCTGGTGTGGTGGCTCATGATATCTCAGTCTCAGGAGAGGGCACTAGAGATCCAGTCCACAGGGGATGTCCCTGAGAGCAAGGCAGCAGTTGCTTCAGAACTGCCTGCTGGGGGCCGGCAGTGATCACACCTGGCTGTGGGACTGATGGGGAAGCGTGAGTGGGGCCGTGAGGCCGGAGCAATGAGGCCTCTGAAGATGGGAAGAAAGAGGCTCTGCTCACGTCTCTTCCACCCCAACACCTTGGGACCAGGATGCCAGAATGGGGATCACTGGGTGAAGTGGGGGGCAGCCTCAGGTCATCACGAATGAGCTGGGTGTGTGCCAAGGACCTTGGTTGTTTCAAACGAACAGAAGCTTGCAAAGCTGGTCCTGGGGATAAAGATTTTTTGGCTGACTAGGTCTCCATGGAAATCTGGAGCCTCAAGAGGCATACAGTGGGACTCCTCAGCCATCAGAGGCAATGAGGGTGGGCCTATAGGGACTCTGTGTTCATGCAGGGATAGGGAGTAAAAGCTGTGGCATATTAAAGTCTTAGAGGGTGAAGGGAAATTTCGTACTTCATGGAGGGAGGAGGAACCACAGCTCTTTGTGGGGAATGGTGGGAGAACGCAGGACCAAGAGAAGAAAGGCCAAAGTGAAGAAAAGCAAGCGCCAGAGATGAGGCAAAGGGACAGGGTGGAAAGCTGCTGGATGGTGATTCAGGCTCCTGGCTTGGTTGTGAGGCTTACACAAAGCGTCTGTGTCAGCAGGAGGTGCTGGGTGGGTGCCCTGGAGTGGGTAGTCTGGGTGACTGCTCATCTGAGTGTCCCCAGAGCAGCACAGCAAGGCGCCTATGAAGAAAAGTCCCTCCCACCCTGCCCTCCACCTTCACATCCCAAGGTCACCTTGAAGCAGAACTAGTTCACAGAGACATTCGAGGACCCCTCGGTGAGGGGTTCTTACTAGGGCTACTCCTGAACAGACAGGAAAAAGTCCGGGCAGTTTGGTGGGGAGTTCTCCTCACTCCACAGTTGACTGTTCCCTGGTTGCCCTTCTCAACCAGGGCCAGCGCTGGAATGGAGTGAATTCCTTCCTTGCACTCTGCTGATCTGGCCCATTAAAGCACTGCCCTGATTCATCTGCATTCTCTCCCTTGGATTCTGGGTGTACTGCCAGGCTGACCGAGTGGGCCGCTGGCGGAGCCTTCCTCCTGGGATGAAAATTTCTCCTTAAGACCTTTGCATTCAAGTGCCAAAAGCATCATTTAAGATTCCAGAGGAGTTCCTGTGGGGTTGCAGGAACAAGGGGCCCCGGAGCTTGGTCTCTTTTAGGGACAATTCCCTGGACCACAGTCCTGTCTTCTTGGATGCCTTGGAAGCCCTGCACACAATAAGTTGTATTAAGACCTGGGTTAACCTTGACCTGTCACCTCTCTAATGTAAAGAAAACACACTCGTGATTATGTCAGTCAGGAAACCAAGAGCAACATGTGTGTGCTGACAGCACAGCCCTTGGCCCAGCTGAACCTGGGGAGGGAGGCGGCTAGATGGAGTATGTGGGCAGGGTCCCTGTGCAAGGACAATAACTCCAGCCAGTCTAAACACTTGCCACCTTGAAGATGGGCATGGAATGTTCCCGCTGTTTATTTGCTTAACAAATACATGGCTGTATTATGTGTCATGCATTGTTCTAAGTGCCTTACAAACTTTAACTCATTTAATTGTCCTCATTATTAATGTCACCGTACTAGGTCTTGAATCCATGGGTGTTCTCCCACTGAGTTATATATAACCCTAGCCTTATATATTTTATTTGAGACAGGGTTTCACTAAGTTGCAGACTTGCCTTGAACCTGTGATCCTCCTGTCTCAGTCTCCTTAGTAGTTGGGATTATAGATGTACACTGATGTACCTGGCTTTCATTTAGTTCTTTTTTTTTTTAATGATAAAATAGTGCCCCTTTATTTCATTTAATTCTTAAAAATATTCTATGAGATAGGCTTCACTATTTTATCACCTTTCTTTCTTTCTTTTTTGGTACCAGGGCTGCTTAACCACTGTGCCACACCCCATATCTTTTTTATTTTGAGGCAGGATTTCACTGAGTTGCTTAGGGCCTTGCTAAAGTTGTTGAGGCTGGTTTTGAACTCCTGCCTCAGCCTCCTGAGCTGCTGGGATTACAGGCATGTGCCACAGGAGCCCAGCTTCATTATTTATTTGTTTTTAAGTACCAGGACTTCATACATGCTAGGCAAGTGCTGTATTATTCAGCTATACCTCCACTTTTACAAATAAGGAAACAAGGCAAAGAAATTTAAATAACTTTCCCCAGATCAAATAGCTAGAAAACAGCAGAACTAGAATTCTAGTCCTAAGCAACTTGGTGAGGGTACAGGTTCTCACCTCTCTGCTATGCCATCTCCCATTAGACACAGTATAAATCCAAGGATTCAAAACAGTTACTAAACTCATATTCCTAATATTTACCTCTGATCCAAGCCAGGCTTAAATATGCATACTAGATCCCTGTTGAATCCCAGCCAGAGTCAAGCTCCAAACTGGAGTTAGTTCTCTCCTTCTAATCCTGATATATTCGTCAACCCTAAACATCACCGTCAATCTTACCCCATTCCTTATCCAAATATCAATACAAAATTGTTACTTTATCAATAAATTTGATGCAAGGGCACTTCTTAGCTATAGCCCTTAATTGAAACCTAACTCCAACTGTGAACTAAAACCAAGTTAGGTTTCAGTTTCCTCACTGATATGATTCCGATGCTCATGGTAACTCTGACTTTGATCTTGACATTTTGTGCAATGCTCTCGGCCTGACCCCTAAACCCAGCATTCTCAACATCTAAACCTCAGGAACGTCAAATGGAAACAGACTCTGTCGTGGCCCTTAAAGCCCTGAGTGGAAAGAAATGGTTCCTGACGTTCATTGGCACTGTCTTTGCTGAGTTGTCTTTGTGGTGGGGCTTTCTATTTTAATTTGTTTTTTAAAAGAATGGTAGTGAATTTGTACTATTCCTTTCAAAAATTTTCACTCCCCTTGTAACCAGAAGCTCGCTTCTGTGAACCATGAACCATTTGGCGGGAGTGAGGGATGTGGTCTGTGGTTACAGAACAGGATCCTGTCCAAAGCCCCATTCTCACCCACAACGCCTCATTCACCACCCTGAGCCTAAACTCATCTGAATGCATTCCAAAGACTGGAAGAAACAGAAAGATGTGACACAGGGACAAGTGGATGCAACCAAGACCAGACTGGGGCAGAGGGAAGAACCAGAATCAAGGAGCATAAAAGGAACAGAATGGGAACAAGGAGGTAGGTCAGAGAGAAAAGGGTAGGGGACACCACTGGAACACAGTTACTTCCCTTTTACATGACAGGTGAATAGTGGCCAGTGGGCCATGTCCAGTCCACAGACCTTTTCATGGGACTGCCTGAAGTTTTAAAAACTGGCAAATTTTCACATAAAGATGAAGGTTCCATCTGGATGTGATGGCACATGCCTGCAATCCCAGCCGCTTGGGAGGCTGAGGCAGGAGGATTATGAGTTCAAAGCCAGCCTCAGCAACTTAGCAAGGCCCTAAGCAACTCAGCAAGACCCTGTCTCTAAATAATTTTTTAAAAAAGGGCTGGGAATATGACTCAGTGGTTAAGAAACCCCTTGCTTAACCTCAGTTTAAAAAAAAAAAAAAAAAGGTTTCTCTTGAAAATCAGGAGCCTCTGGTAACACCAAGTTGCAGTTGGCTGGAACTGAGAAATGGATGCAAATTTCAGACAGGGCATCACTCATTTCTCACAGTCTGCAACTCTTCCTCTGGCCTCATATCTGCTCCTTTTCTTGTGTATGTCACAGGTCTTACCCCAAAAGGCGTTTGAGTCTGGTCAGTGCTATGAGCCCTGTAGCATCTGGCCGGTGCTAGGAGGAGGCTTATGCTGCGCATGGAAGGATCTGGATGTGCTTCTTTCCTGCAGATAGCAATAACTTTACCTACCAGGGGGCCCCCCATCCTTGTCTGTGAACTCTCCCTCAGGGAGCACCCTTAGGAGGAGCACAGGATCCCCAGAGAGCTGAGTCTGTAATATTTACTGCCCCCAGGAAACCTGGAATCATGTGCATCTCGCTGTAATGAGAAGTTTAACCGAGATGCTACTTGCCAATGTGACCGCCGGTGTTCCCGTCACAGGGACTGCTGTGAAGACTACGAACATCTGTGTACTGGTGAGTCTCCTGTGGAAGGCAGGACCAGGGTGCAAGTCTAGCCTGCCTGAGGGGCCACTGACCTGGGTGTGCAGCAGTCTGGCGTGGGGCTCAGGGCTGGGGGTGGGCGGAGGTGATGAGTGCACTGAGGGGAAGGGGCAGGGCCAGGGGGCAGGTATTTGGCTATCACTTGTCTCAGGTTTTCTAAGAAGTCCAATTTAAAATATGGTAGATGCCATTTACCTGGAATATCTGAATGATCAGGATTAACAATGTCATGAAAGTTTGTGCAAAATGGTAAAACTCTATTTTAGCATCGTGACATTACCAATTGTTATTCAACACTTTTTTTTTCTTTCTTTTTTGTTTTTTGGTGCTGGGGATGAACCCAGAGTCTTGTGAACCTTAAGCAAGCACTGTAACAATGAGCTACATGCTCAGACCCTATTCAACACCTTAAATCACAAAATTATAAAAATGGCAATGAGCTCTCTCACAATCTGTTTGCCACCAGGAAGGCTGCAGGTGTCATTGTGACTGTCACAATGCACCCCTCTGTTCTAATGAGCGGACAGAGCAGCCACATCTTCAAACTTTTATTCTCAGACTACTGATTAAAACAGGACATGCACTACCTGTAAAGGCCAATTGTTCCTCCACTGTTCCCATGATTCAGCCTTAAATGAATAATAATAATAATAATAATAATAATTATTATTATTATTATTATTTTGGTGTTGGGGGTTGAACCCAGAGCCACTTAACCTAGCCCTTTTAACTTTTATTTTGAGACAGAGTCTCGTTAAGTTGCTTAGGGTTTTGCTAAGTTGCAGATGTTGACCTTGAACTTGCAATCTTTCTGCCTCAGCCTTCCAAGTAGCTGAGATTACAGGTGTGCATCACCAGGCCCGGCTAAGTGAATAGTTTTTGAACAATCATTTTTGAATAATCTTCTTTTTCGGATGCTTGCAATTTAACAAACTCTTAGGAAATGATCTTTTGCTTTGTGACATGAAGACTTGCTGAGTTCATTGTCAAATCATGTGCCCTAACTCCCAGTTTGGAACACATGATCAAGGAAACCATAGAAGGTAATGGTCAGCAAAATACCACATCTGGTGGTACAGATTGTCCAATGAACAAGGCACCTGGCTGAGTGGCCTAAAATTTAATATGTACCCTTCTCACCAAATTGTGTTCTCTGGTGCAGACCTATATCTGCTGAGAGAAAGGAGAGTCTTTCCTAATTTGCCCAAAGGTAGTATCTGCTGACCAGCTGTGTGTTCATGGAACTGCTTCCACTCACACGGACCCTTTATTCAATTTACACAAAAACACCAACCCAGTGCTCAGAGCCAGAATCAGAGCCCACTATTTTCTGCTGCCTCTGTGCCCTCTCCTTTCTTATCATTCAGCAGACACAGGAAGGCCTGATCATACTGACACTCCAAGATAGTAGCCATACCCAGTCTTGGAAACACTTCATCTCTAAGTTTCTGATTTGCAACTCAGAACCTCTTTCCTACAGGAAAAAAAATATTGTAAATGATGTAACTCTAGCTTAGCTCACAAAAGTCCATGAATATCAACTGTGGCTGAATTAAGGAGTTTATGGATTTCTTTTCTTTTCTAAAAAAAAGTACTTTTAGTAGTAGATGGACACATGCCTTTATTTTATTTATTTTTATGTGCCAGGCAAATGCTCTACAACTGAGCTACAGCCTCAGCCCTTTTTTTGGTCTTTGATTTGATATAGATTCAGTTTTGTATTGTGTGTGTGTGTTTTTTGCTTTGTTTTTTTGTTTTTTTGGTGTTGCTGGGGATTGAAGCCAGGGCCTTGTGCATGCTAGGCAAGCACTTTACCAACTGAGCTATATCCCCAGAACAGTTTATGGATTTCTAACCCTTAGAACACAGCGCGGCACAAAGTAAGAGATCAGAAGATGTTGTTGACTGAGCAAATAACCTGACTAGTGGTTCTGATTGTGATATCACAATCCTATCCAGCAGCCTCACTAAAAGCTTCTGAGTCACTCTGTACCATGGCCGTTTCTTTGGGACAGCTGTGGAGGTGGGCTATTCTGCGTGTGATGGTAGAGGAGCTCAGATTCCTGGGAACATTCCTTCCTCTCCCCCTCACTCCCACCACACCCTTCTCTACCAGAGCACAGGAGGTGGTCACTCAGGTTGCAGTAGTGCTTTCCTGAACATGTTTTTCCTGCAAACAGCTTTTTGTTTTTTGGTACTGGGATTGGACTCAGGAGTACTTGAACTGAGCCCTATCCCCAGCCCTATTTTGTATTTTATTTAGAGACAGGGTCTCACTGAGTTGTTTAGAGCCTTGCTTTTGCTGAGGCTGGCTTTGAACTTGCAATCCTCCTGCCTTAGCCTCCCAAACCACTGGGATTACAGGGCTACCTCACTGTGCCCAGCTTATTTTAGTTTTTTGATAACAGCTTTCAATAAACTCCTTCTACTGGAAATGCAGTTTTCATCCTCTTTGATGTGGGCCTAGTCCTTTGTACTGCAGCCCTTGTTTACTATCTGCTTCCAGTGCACATGGTTGTCCCTGAGGCTGGGAGACTTCAGAACCAGGAAAAAAGGGGGAGGGAAATATTTTTCTTTGTGTGTGTGTGTGTGTGTGTGTGTGTGTGTTTAGGTATTGGGGATTGAACCCAGGGTTGCTTTACCACTGAGCACCCTCAGTCAGTTTTTTATATTTTGAGACACAGTCTGGGTTAAGTTGCTGAGGGTCTCCCTAAGTTGCTCAGACTGTCCCAGAGATTGTGAGCCTCCCATCTCAGCCTCCCAAGTCATGGGGATTACAGGAATGGGCCACCATGCCCAGTAAGGGATGGAAGTCCTTAGGGATGGCGGGTAACTTTATTTTTCTAATTGCAGCCGAGGAGGAGCCAGAGGAATTCTTGGAGCTGGAAGAAGAGGCCCCGGATAATAGTGAGCCTGCCTTCCCAAATGGGACCTTCAGGATAAAGATGGGACACCAGGGGCGATGAGGGGAGGGCTCTGCCAGGCCTAAGGGCCAGGCCTGGCTCCAAGAGAGAGGTTGGCAGGACTCCCTAGCCTCAGAGGGAGAGGGGCCTGTTGCCAGGGAAGGGGAGGGGTAACCAGGAAAGAGTCCGAGGCCTGGGGAGGGAAGTGGAAGAGGTTTTATTTTTAGAGTGGGAAGATTATAAAAACAACAGGCCAGAAAATAAAGTTCAGCATCAGAAAGGACTTCCTGACTGTGAAGGGCGTGCAGGAACTGGACCTGTTTGTTTTCCTTCCCTGGAGACCTAGTGAGGAGGATCAGGAGCCGGCGGGGAGGGAGGGAGCGGCACGGGCGCTCGGCTCGCCCTCTAGCGGTCAGATGGGGACTCGCCTCTCCTCGGCTCTCAGGCTTGTACTCGGCACCCAGCTCCTGCCAGGGCCGCTGCCGCGAAGCCTTCGACAAGCACCACCCCTGCCACTGCAATGACCGCTGCCAAGAGTCTGGGAACTGCTGCAAGGATTTCGAGAGCCTGTGTGGCGACCACGGTCAGTCTGCTCCCTCCGCATAGCCCCAGATACACAAGGACTCTCATGCAGTGGTTTTCAAAGTGTGGTCCCTGGACCAGCAGCACCAGCATCTGAGAATCTATAAGAAACGCAAACGCTAGGGTCTCACCCCAGACCTATTGATAGAAACTTTGGGGGTGAGCTCACCCCTCTGTTTTAACAAGTCTTCTGGGTGATTCTGATGCCTGCTACAGTTTGAGAATCTTCCTAGAGGGAAGGGGCAGGGTGGACATTCTGTGGACATTCATGGCAAAGACATGGGTTGATTTTAAGGGTCCTTAGGCCCCTGCCCTCCAACCACCTCCTGCAGGCTTCTCCAAGGTGCTTAGGAGGGGATGCACACAGACGTTGGCCTGTCTTGCCTTCCCTCTGGCCCTGAGATCACCCCTTCTCCATTTCCTCCCAGAGGGCTTCTCCCACAGCAGTGATGCCATAACCAAAGAGGAGCTTCAGAGCATCTCTGAGAAGATCTACAAGGCAGACACCAACAAAGCCCAGAAGGAAGACATCGTTATCAACAGTCAAAACCGCATCTCCCCTTCAGAGACGGGAGACCAAGTGGATCGCTGCCCAGAGCCGTGAGTCCCCCTGGTCCCCACAGAGTCTCTCCTCAATCCTTCCTTCTTTGATGCTCCTACTCTTTTCTCCTCAAATCAGGCAGGAGGAAAGGGAGAGGGGGAAAAAATAGTTCTTCAGAGACAAGGAAGCCTCCTTGAAGGACTGTGGGTATACATTTGGGAGGGTTTCTGGAATTGGTTGGGTTGAGGACAGGGAAGATCTTCTAGGAGATGGAGTGGAATAAAAGTGGCTTCATGCATAACCTTCAAGAGCACCTGAAGTCCCCCTCCAATCCTCATGTGCTTCCCCTGGGCTCTCTGGAAGTTTCTGGAAGAGTTTTTGCTGCATGTTCAGGCCCCTCTGTGGGTGTCCCTCCTCCTGCCCCAGGCTCTTCACGTATGTCAATGAGCAGCTGTTCTCCAAGCCCACCTACGCAGCCTTCATTAACCTGCTCAACAACTACCAGCGGGCGACGGGCCATGGGGAGCACTTCAATGCCCAGCAGCTGGCCGAACAGGGTGTCTTCCTCAGAGAGATCATGAAGACAGCAGTGATGAAGGAGCTCTACAGCTTTCTCCATCACCAGAGTGAGTGAGCCATTCCCAGGCCCCATGAGGCACTGTTGAGGATGCGGGTCTGTCTGCAGGAGAGCCAGACACCTCTGAGGGCTGCACAATGGGGCGTTGGGAGAGCAGGTGAGGAAGCAGAGGACCACACAGAGGCAAGTGCACACCTGGGAGGGACAGAGTTAAGGCCAGAGGGGAGTCATGGAGAGATTATGGGCCCTACTAGGGGCTGCAGAATCCTCTGTTTGGCTTGGAGATCACCTCCTTTTTCCTCTTCTTCCCCTTCTTCTATGCTAGGGATTGAACCCAGGGCATGTTAGGCAAGTGCTCTACCACTGAGTTACATCCCCAGTCCTTTTCACTTTATTTTGAGACAGGATCTTGGTAAGTCATGAAGCCTGAACTCAATTTTGCAATCCTCCTGCCTTAGTCTCCCAAATAGATGGGATCACAGTTGTGTGCTACCATACCTGAGGCACCCCATCTTTTGACTGAATGTTAGCAGCCTTGTGGATCCCTCAGCCTCTGCTTCAGTCTCAGGGTCCTCTGCAGGGTTATGAGACTCCCTCACCCCGGGGCACTTCTTAGCCACCTCTGTGGATCCAAGTCACTTTATGGATCAGGCAGATATAGTCCCCAACTCTTTTGCCTTTTCTGCACTAAGTCCAGGAAGGGCTTGGCTTACTTCTTCTTCTTCTTCTTCTTCTTCTTTTTTTTTTTTTTTTTTTTGTGGGGAACAGCTACAGAAAATCAACAAAGGTTCAGAGAGGATGTCCTACTGGAAAGAGTTCTGGTGGGAATGTCTCCAGATACAGATACATTCAAGTCAGACCAAAAAAGGTTTTGACAGCAGGACTTTTTGGCTCCGGTTGTGTTTGTCAGTGTCCTCCAGATTCCTTCCCCGAATTCCAGGCAGCTGGGCTTTGTCTCAGGGGTGGCGCTGTCCAGGTCTCCTCTCACTGGCTGTGGGATGGCCTCCACAGCTCTGCTGTTTTTAGGTGACACAGGAGTGATTCCATGAGATGATGCAGTCCTGTGTCGCCCCCTGGTGTTCTCTCTGTGGTAAACGCATGAGAGTGGAGTGAGCCGTCGGCTTTTCAGTGAGAGAAATGGAGGCCGAGCCAGGCTAGATGGGACCCAGGCCACAAAGGAGTTGGAAGCAGAGCTGGCTCTGGAAACTTGGTTCCAATATGAGGCCAGGTTCTTCATTACTCACTTTTTCTCATTTCTCTTTCCCTCCTTGTCCAAATGCCACTTTTTTTTTTTTGCTACTGGGGATGGAACCCAGGGGTGCTCAACCAATGATCCATATCTCCACTCCTTTTAATTTTTATTTATTTATTTTTAAAGATGATGTCTTGCTAATTTGCTTAGGGTCTAAGTTGCTGAGGTTGGCCTCGAACTTGTGATCCTCCTCCCTCAGCCTCCCAAGCTGCAGGAATTATAGGTTTGCACCACCATGCCCAGCCTTTATTCTTTATTCTTTAGGTTCTTGCTCAGGTCTCACCACCTCTATGAAGATTTCAATTGCTTCAGTTCTTGCTGGCTTTCAGCATCCCTTTGGAGACTGAGAGATTAGGCTATGACCCAGAATAACCTAGGGCCAGAGAGACTTGGTTTTCTCCTGGTTCTGATACTGACTAGTGGGATGACTCTTGTGCTACAGTTTGAACATGTCCTCCAAATTTCATGTGCTGGAAACTTAATTCCTAATATTATATATTAATGGTAATTGGATGTGAGAGCTGTGCGAAGCAACTGGGTCTTGGGGGATTGCCCTCATGAATAGTTAATCAGTTAATGGATTAATGGATTGTCCAAGGAGTAGCTCTGTTATAAAAGTGAGTTCTCTCTGGTGTACTTGCTCTGTCTTGCCCTGTGATGCCTTTTACCATATTATGATTCAGCAAGAAGGTATTCACCAGATGCCAGCACCTAGATGTTGGACTTCCTAGACTCCAGAACTATAAGCAAACTAAACCTCTACTCTTTATAAACTACGGAGTCTCAGGTGTTTAGTTATAGCAATTGAAAATGAACTAAGACTCCTGAGAAAGTTATTTACCTTGCTGAGTCTCATCTGTGAAATGATGTCTTTGAGGATTAATATTTGTAAAGCACCCAGTGGAAAATTTGGCCCCAAGTAAGTGCTAGTAAGGGCAACTATTCAGCTTGTGAAACTAATCTGTTAATTTTTTTTTTATGTATTCAGACTTATTTTCCAACTGCATTTAAGTCCTTGAAAGGAGAGAATATTTCTGGTGTCTCTTTTTAGATCCTCTACACACAATTCTGGGCCATAAACAGTCAGTATTTGATGACTCTCTTATTTATTTATTTTTTTAAGAGGGAGAGAGAGAATTTTAATATTTATTTATTTTTATTTTTTGGCAGACACAACATCTTTGTTTGTATGTGGTGCTGAGGATTGAACCCGGGCTACCCACATGCCAGGCGAGCGCCCTACCGCTTGAGCCACATCCCCAGCCCTGACTCTCTGATTTAAATCTCCAGTCCTCACCTTTCCCTTTTTTCCCAATGGCCATTTCAACATCTCCACTTCGCTATCTATCTGGTATCCACACAAAATTTAGTGTAAAGAGAACTCACAGTTCTCACTCTTCCTCCTGACCTGCTTCTCCTTGGGTCTTTCCCATCTCATAAATGACAATAGAATCCATCTAGCTGTTCAGGCCAAAACCCAGGAGTTAGATTTGATTCTTTTTCCCCCACCCCTCCCCACTGTCATCCATAACTCCCACCTTCAAAATATATCCCAGATCTTCCTGCTTTTCATCCCTTCTGTTTTAGTCAGCAGTTTCACTGCTATGACCAAAAGATCTGACAGGAACAATGTAGGGGAAGAAAAGTTTATTTGGGGTTTACAGTTTCAGAGATCTCAGTCCATAGATGGATGGTGCCATTGCTGCTGCACATCATGGAGGATGAGAGCATCTCAGAACAGGACAATCAGGAATCAGAGAGAGCTCTCACTCACTAAATGTAAACCCTAAAGTCACACCCCCAGAGACCCACCTCCTTCAGTCACACCCTACTGGCCTACAGCCACTACCCACCCAATTAATCCATTCAAGTTGATTAACGCACTGATTAGGTGAAGGCTCTCATAACCCAATCATTTCACCTCTAAACTTTCTTGCATTGTCTCACACATGAGCTTTAGGGGAACACTTCAGATCTAAGCCAAAACACCTTCTCCTCAACTACCACTTAGTGTACGCCATCTCCAACTGCTCACCTGGATAGCATTAGCTTCAAAATTGGCCTCTCTACTTCCACTCTTAAAACTGCATGGACCTTTTTACTTAGGCAATCAGAATGATCTTTTAAAAGCAAAGCTCTTATCACATAATTTCTCTGCCCAAATTCCTTCTGTGTTAGTCAGCTTTGTGTTGCTCTGACCAAAATACCTGACAAGAACAACTTAGAGGAGGAAAACTTTATTTTGGCTCATGGTTTTAGAGGTTCAGCCCTTGGTGGGTAAGTCCATTGCTTTATGTCCAGAAGACCGTGGTGGAAGGGAGAGGCGGAGGAGCACTGCTCCACTACTGGCAGCGAGAGAGCAGAGAGAGAGGGATGAGGGAAAAGGGCCACAGAGAAGATGCACCCTTCCAGGGTATGACCTCAGTGACCCACCTCCTTCAGCCATATCCCACTTGCTTATAGCTACCACCCAGTCAATCTACTCAAACTAGAATGGGCTAATTAGGTTACAGCTATCCTCATCTAATCAATTCACTTCTGAATATTCCTGCATTAACACAGGAGCTTTTGGGGTACATCTCATCTTCAAACCATAACACCTCAGTGTCTCTCTATGCCCAAAGCTGTAGAGTTGTTAAGAGATAGGTCTGTGGAGCTAGGCTGTGTAGGTTTGAGTGCTGTGTCTACCTCTTATGAGTTATGCCATCTGGCCTTGGTTTCATAACCTATGTCTGCTTCAGTTTACTTCTCTCTAATTGGAAATAATAAGTACCTTTCTTACTAACATGAGGCTAGTACTAATGTGAAGATTCAATGTGAGGAAGAATAATAATAATTATTTGGTACCAGGGATTGAACCCAGGGGCACTTAACCACTGAGCCACATCCCCAGCCTTTTGTAATATTTTATTTAGAGACAGGGCCTCATTGAGTTACTTAAAGCCTTGCTAAGTTGCTGAGGCTGACTTTGAACTCATGATCCTCCTGCCTCAGCCACCTGAGCCACGGGGATTACAGGCATGCACCAACGCACCTGGCTTGAGGATTCAATATTGTTATATGGAACCCTTTAAAATGGTGCTGGGCACACATAAAGTCCTCAATCAATCTAAGATATTTTTGTTATTATTACTATTTGATTGGGATCTAGCCTTCTTGCCATGGCTTACAGGATCTGGTCCCTGCCTACCTCTCAGGCCCCCTCTCCTCCTGCTTACTTTGCTCCAGCCACAGTGAACTTCTTTCAGTTCTTTGAATATAAACTCTCTACCTGGAGCCTTGGCACTTACAGTTCCCTTTTAATAGAATTCTTCTCCCCAGATGTTTGTGTGGTGAACTCCTTATCCTTCAGGTCTCTTGATTAGTGCTACTTTCTCAAAAAGGTTTTTCTGGTCTTCCTTTTCAGAAGTCCTCTGTCTTAGTATGTTTTATGATGCTAGAACAGAATACAACAGACTGAGTAATTTATAATGAACAGAAATTTATTGACTTGTGGTTCTGGAGGCTGGGAAGTCCAAGATCGCAGGACTGTATCTAATGATGGCCTTCTTGCTGCGTCACCCCATGGCAGAGGCAGAGACAAAGAGTGAGAAAAAGGCAAAAGAAGGCCAAACTTGTTTTTTTTTTTTTTTTTTTTTAAGGAAACCATCCCTTCGATAAGGAACCCTTTTCTGTGAAAATGACATTAATCAATTCATGAGGATAGAGCCCTCCTGGCGTAATCACCTCTTAAAGATCCCACTTCTTTTTTTTTTATTATTTATTAGTTTTAATCAGTATTACGTGACAGTAGAAAGCTCTTTGATTCATTGTACACAAATGGAGCATAATTTTAAGATCCTACCTCTTAATCATGTCACAGTGGGTATTCCTAACATATTTTTTTTTGGGGGGGGGATACTTCAAAACAGCACACTCCAACCCCATCTAGGTAGTCATCACAGGCTACTCTAGTGTCTGAAATCACATGATTTCTTTAGTGTTTCCATGTTTGTTTATTTGTCTCTCTCTCTGTAATGTAAACTCTAAGATAGAGACCCTGTCCTTATTTTTCTCTGCTGAATCCTCAGCCTTTAGGTCTGGGCCTAGCACACAGTGGGTGTCCTGCTGATCATTGCTAAATGGGCAGTTGAACACATTTGTTGATTGATTAAACCCATGTCTCTCCTCTTTTTTTTTTTTTTTTTTAATATTTTCAGTTGTAGATGGACACAATACCTTTATTTTATTTATTTTTATGTGGTGCTGAGGATTGAACCCAGTGCTTCACACATGCTAGGCAAGCACTCTACTGCCAAGCCACAACCCCAGCGCCCCCATGTCTCTCTTGATGTCCTGAAGCAGGTGGCCCTTTTCTGTTTCCCAGGACCCGACCTCTCTTCCCCTCTCCAACGTACTCTGTGTTCCTCTCTGCAGACCGCTATGTCTCTGAACAAGAATTCGTTGACGACTTGAAGAATATGTGGTTTGGGCTCTATTCAAGAGGCAATGAGGAGGCGGACTCCAGTGGCTTTGAACATGTCTTCTCAGGTGGGGCACCCTGCTTAGAAAGGAAGGGTGGAAGGGGTGAAAAGGAATGACTTTGCTCAGGAGCAGGGCAGCCCTGACCCTGAAGAATAGACAGCCAACTTGGCTGTCAGGGAGGGACATTCTACTATCAGGCCAAGAGGGACGGGTCTGAGAAGCCATTTTGAGGGGTAGTCTCTCTCGAGTACCTAAGAGGGAAAGAAGACCAGATACTGGAGCTCTCAAGGGGCTACATCTTGAATGAACAAGTGTTTGGGGGCAAGGTAGTTAGCCTCTGAGCAGTCCTTTGCTTCCAGAGCTTGGTCAGCTGCTTCCTGAGAGGTTCACAGTCTGTTCCCCACTGCCCTGTCCCATAAGGCTCCCACCAGGCCAGGCTTGCTCCTGGAGAAACAGCTGAGAAGAATATTCCAGAGTGGTCTCTAGTATCAGCTAGGGGGAAGAATCATTCTGGCTGAACTGAGAGGAGAGGACAGGGATGTGAGGGACTCTGGAGAGTGAGGTAAGGGACTGAGCTGGTGAACATTCAGATCCCGGAGAAGGAGGCAGCCTTGGTGTGGGGTGAGAGAAAGGGGACTGGAGGGACAGGATGGTTCCAGAAGCCCAGATCACTTACCTTGTGCTCTGTTTTATAGGTGAAATCAAAAAGGGCAAGGTCACTGGCTTCCATAACTGGATCCGCTTCTATCTGCAGGAGAAGGAGGGCCTGGTTGACTATTACAGCCATAACTATGATGGACCTGTGAGTACCTGTGCTGGAAAAGCCCTGTTGGTGGCCACACTTTCTATCCTTGTGTTTGGAACAGTCAGACTTGTTCCTCCCCCTGACTCATCTGCAGCCCAGTGGGGATTGTGAACGTGGTGTCCTCCCTTGCTGGACAGCAAGTTTAGCCACCCAAGAGATGGTATTCCCTTCCAGGGAAGGCTCTAGAACTGCATGGTCAGAGGGCAGAGGACACCATATCTGGGTGGGAGGTTGAGGTCAGAGGAGGATTTTGAGGGAGAAGAACCAATGACATACAATTATCCGCCTCCCCACCCCCGCCTGAATGTCTTTCAAATGTGGCTGAGAGTTTGAACCTGGATAGTCTGAGCTAAACTACATACAATTTACAAAAAAGAAACCTTTACTGTCCTGTACCAGCAAATAATTTGGGGGAAATGAACCGTCCTCTTCCAGGTATAGGGGCAATAAGGAACAATTGCATCCCTGGCATTCTGGTCTGGGTCTTATGGCTGCTGACTCTGGCCTCCTTGGCACTGTCAACACCACACAGAGGGTCTGAGTGGGGCTCAGGTACTTCTACTTAAGGAAGCCGGTTTCCCTGAAGGCTCCTCATGGACCTTCAACAACTACTGACCAACTGCTGGCATTTGGCACCTCTCTAATGCTACTCTGTGGCCTTCACCAAACCCCCCTTTCTGCCCTTTTCTTTGCAGTGGGATTCCTACCCTGACGTGTTAGCGATGCAGTTCAACTGGGACGGCTACTATAAGGAAGTGGGCTCAGCTTTCATTGGCAGCAGCCCTGAGTTTGAGTTTGCACTCTATTCCTTGTGCTTCATTGCCCGGCCAGGCAAAGTGTAAGTACTGGGTCAGCCACAGAGATCTGGAGTCTGCCACTCAGGGGCTGAGAGGGCTTGGACAGATCATTGTGCTGTGCCTCCATTTTATCCCTCGAGCAGTGGTTAGATTAGATTGGAGGCTGCCAAACTTCATCTTAGCTGTAGAACCCATCTCCCTTCTTTCCCCTCAAGTGCAATTTTATGCAGGATCTTACTATTCACAGAAGTTAGAAATAGGTTGTCTTAGGGACTGTAAGCCTCTATTTTTGTTCTTGAGGCTGTTTGAGGGAAACTGAACAGTTGGTAACAACTGGCCTTCCTGTTCTGTATCAGTTGGAAACTTTGGGTTCTACTATTTAAAAATTTTTTTAAATTAAAAAAATTTTTTTTTAATACTGGGTTTGAACCAAGGAGTGCTCTACTACTGAGCCACCCACCCCATCCTCTTTTTACATTTTATTTTGAGACAAGGTCTTGTAAGTTGCTGAGGTTGGCCTCAACTTGCAATCTTCTTGCCTCAAACTCATGAGTCACTGGAATTATAGGTGTGCGCCACCACCTGGCAGGGTTCTATGCTTCTGAAAGATGAAACAAATATTCATTCTGAGAACTTCAGTTCTAGAATCTGGGGTTTTAAAATATTGCTCTGGGAAAGATGAGGAAAGCTCCTCTTTCCGAAGACAGAAAATAAGGTCCAGATGCCTCAGTGGCTGCAGAAATCTGTGGCAGCAGAAATCTGTGGCAGCTCTGTCATAAAGGACAGAACCCTTTTTTTTTTGAGCGGGGAGGGGGCTGGATCCTTGCAGCCTGGGGGAAAGAGGCAAGGTGGAGTGGTGGGCCCCTCTGATTTCATGATCTTTTCCCACAGGTGCCAGTTAAGCCTGGGTGGTTATCCCTTGGCTATCCAGACCTATCCCTGGGACAAGACTACCTATGGAAATGGCAAGAAGTACATTGCCACAGCCTACGTGGTGTCTTCCACCCATTAGAACAGAACTTTGAGCCAGAAAGGGCCATGAGGGCAGGGAGGACTCTTGCAGGACTGAGGTGCTGTCTACTCTGGACTGGAAAAGGGAGGGAGGAGGCTGGGAGGAAATCCCACATCAGTGAAACAGAACCCCCAAACCAAAAATGCCTATACAGGAGGAAAGAAACAAATTAGAAAATGCAGAGAAGCAGTCAAACATTTGTCATCCAGTATTTTAACAATATTGACTAAGAAACAAAGTCCAGGTGGAGGAGGTGGAGGGCCTTGATGGTTCCTTGCTCTGATGCGTGGTGGAACTGTGAGCAAGTCCTCTGGCCTCACAGTGCCTCCTGCTTCCCTCTAACATAATGGGAAGAGGTCTACCCCTTTTCCTGTTTTGGGGGTTGGCGAGAGGACAAACCTGATGATACATTTACTGAGGTCTTTTCAAATGTTCTTAGGAAGAACTGCTAATAGAAATATAAGATTACTATAATGGCTGTTATTGTTTACAGCTCTGCAAACTGCAATTTGGCTCTGTGTCAGGGGCCTCAAAGAAGTCAGGCCACAGAAACTAACCAGTGGGCCTTTAGTCTTTTGTACAGTAAGATCCTTTTGGAACAGAGTCTGGGAGAACTCTGTCATTGAACAGAGCTGGGTAATGGTTGGGACAGCAAATGGGCTGGGGCAGGGTGGCTTCCCCAGGCCTGAGTGTTTTGTGGTCAACTCAGTATCTGTTTCCAGAAGCTTCCTGATTATAGATGTTTAGTGCATCTGCACTCTTATGTTTTGATCCCAAATAGTTTTTTTTTTTTTAAATAGAATTCCCATAAGAGGAGGAAGATTTAGCATCAGAAAAAGAAAGGCAACTATAACTTATTCTCTATTAAGGCTTAGCCAGCTGCAATATTTTGAATCACTCTAGATGGGAGACCAGGGAGACTGCTCCCTATCTCCACCACAGTGGTGCTTTTCTCCCCTGGGCCTGCTTGGAGCCAGATGGGGCTCCACAGAGTCAGTCCTGCTCCCTGACTTAGAGAGGTCAGGTCTCCAATTAAAGTTATTAAAAACAAAAAACAGAAACGTGTCTCTTCTTTGTTTATGGATCCCTTGACTGTTGGTATCCCTGCATTTTCCCTGGAGCAGGGCTGGGAATGATATTCCTCCTTTCAAGTCCTTTCAGGGGAAAGTGGTATCTTGGTGAAGTGCTTGAAGGCTCACCAAGTCCTCTAAGAGAGGGAGAGAAATCTTCCAGGTGCAATGTGAAACATGGAAAGAGCATCACAAGCAAACAATGGGGAGGTGAGTGGTGGGCGACTCTTGGCTCCAGTACCAGTAACCAGCCCCTTCTATCACATATACAGGGAACAGAAGGACATCCTGGATGCAGCTTCTGTGACTGCAGAGGTTGACCAAACTGAGAGATATTAAAAAGAATTCTCACCTGTTGTCGGATTATTTAGGACACAATTCTAGGAAGAAACCAGCCAAGAAGGGAACCTATAACAAATTTGAGAGCTCAGACAAATCAAACAGGAACTTGTTCTATCCTATCCTGTGGTGTTCACAGTCCAGTGGACAGGACAAGGGGTCAGGAGTACATAGTCTAGGTGCAACCTCTGATCTAGTCAGTTACTTGCTGGTTACATGGGTAACTTTCTTATTCAATCAGTATCCTTATCAGTAATATTGGGATAATAGTACCACTGTTGTAAGGTAAGGAATGTAAAATAATGTGCCGGCTATTCTTTTCATCATTCTTTATGTTGTTGTGGTTTTGTTTTTTGAGACTGAGTTTCCCTATGTTGTCTAGGCTGGTCTTGAACTTGTGGGCTCAAGTGATCCTCCTGCTTCAGTACACCATCACACTCACCTCATCATTCTTACTTGTCTCACTTATATATAGATTTCATTTTTTACTAGGAGAGGCAATTCCTCTTCCCTGTGATTAGTCTTAATTTTCATCTACCAATGTCAGTACTTGTTACTCCTTACTGACCTCTTCAGGGGTCTTCCAGATAGATAAATAGGAGGCAGAGAAACAAAAATGTAGGAGAGAGTACTGTACCCCAGGTTCTGGACCTTAGCTTTGCAAGACAGAGAGGTAGAAACTAACATTTGTTAATCTCTTACCATGTCCCAAGTTGTGCTAAATAGTCCATTAATGTACAATTTTATGTACATTTGGTAGGTATTTTTATCTTTACCATTGTAATTTTACTTAGACATTTGAGATTCAGATTAAGTCACTTTCTTATTAAGTAGCAAATTAGGATTTCAAAATCCAACCTTTTCCTCATGTTGTAGTGAGCTGGATTTCTAGCAGAATCTACTCATTCATTCATTATTCCTTTTTTTTTTGTGGTACTGTGTATTGAGCTCAGGGGCACTCTACTACTGAGCTACATACCCAGCTCTTTTTATTTTTATTTTGAGACAGAATCTCACTAAGTTGCTGAAGTTTGTCTTGAGCTTGCTATCCTCCTGCCTAGCGAGTAGCTGGAATTACAGGCATGAACCATCATTCCTGGCTTCATTCATTATTCTTTTAAAGCTTGTGACAGAGGCTGCTGGTTGCCCCTCAAGACCTGATCTCTTCCTTTTCTTCCTTATTCATGGAATTCCCAGTTTTTAGAAGAGCACATGACTTCCAAGAATAAAAACTCAGCTTCTCTTGTAGCCAGGAGGGGCCATGTGCCTAAGTCCTGGTCAATGGCATGTAAGAGGAGGCATATCTTAAAGGACAGGAAACACGATTTTCTTGTTCTTGTCCTTTTCCTGCTCACTTGATTTCAGATAAGATTGCTGGAGCTTGAGCAGCCATATTGCATCATAATTGAAGATGGTAGAGCAGGAAGGTATTAGGAGCCTGGGCCTAACACTGGATTGTCATACCAGTCCTGCACTGCTTATGTTCAGTCTTATATAAGACAGAAATAATCTTCTGTTATGTTTAAACCACCTTTACTTTGGTCTTCTGTCATATGCAAAAACAAAAAACAAAAAACCCCCCAAACGATATATACTATTTCTGTAATAGGAAGTGTCAAGGTGCATAAATTTTCTTCCTAAAGTTACTTAGCTAATACCCTCTTCTGAAGATTTATATTAACTATCAGAACCTTCCCATAGTATACTATTTGAAAGAGTTTAATAATTATTTTTGGCATAAAATTAATTTACCATCATTAATTGCGGCATTTTACTGTTGCAATAATCAACATTTATGTTTATTTCCACTGACAATTTGATTTCAACATGTAAATCTCATAAAGAGACTGTCTCTTTGAAAGTGGCTGTTCAGTTGTTAACAGTAACTTCATTTGAGAGGACTGGGGTTTATTCTTGGTAAAAATAAATAAATAAAAGAAGAAGGCCCATGTCTGAATTCACAGGGGAGAAGGTTGCCATTATAGACATCCTCCCCACTTTGGGAGCCTCAGAAGTTGGTGATGATAGCTATCAAGCATCAAAACCATTTAGTTAACTTTTCTCCCTTTGATTCTGTATTCACTAAGCAACCTTTTAATAGTATGTGAAAAGAAAGGGAGAAGGAGAAAGAGAGAGGTTTCATCACCTAAGAGTCCCATGAAGTTTTACTAAAACAGGTAGTTGGTCCTCTTTTCTCTCATCTCAATCAACTTTGCGAAGGATTAATAAAGAGAAGGTAATTGCTTTGTTAAGAACATTAATAAATCTATATCTTCTTTAAATTGACTTATTACTAGTTTTAAAATACAGTATGATATGTTAAAAATTACTTATCTATCTCCAAACACAACAACAAAATCATTCCATTAGTAAATATTTTGGTAATGCATTTAATGATTTGACTACTAAAACTTTAAAATACAAAGATACCCAACAATTAAACAACATGAAACAGGTGACCTTGTGAGGGAGGACCCTAAGGTGGTTTTTTTATTGACCAGGTCCTAGGTTAATGTTTCCTAGCCTAAATGGCACAGCAATATGGCATGCTTTAAAAATCTGTGATGCTGAGGCTACATTCCAGACTAATTAAATCAAAACCTCTGGGATAGAATTCATCAATGTGTTGTGGTGTGTGTGTGTGTGTGTGTGTGTGTGTGAGAGAGAGAGAGAGAGAGAGAGAGAGAGAGAGAGAGAGAGAGGGAGGGAGGGAGAGGGAGGATATCTATCTATATAGGTTGGTGGGTTGGTCTATCTATTCATCCACCCATCCATCCATCCATCTGTCGGTCCCTAAGTGATCACAATGTTTAATAAAGCTTGAGAATCACTGATCTGAATTTTGGGGATAATGTTTGAAATCAGAGAGCTGATTCAATTTGAAAGCTTGGTTTGATTGTGACTTTTTTGTGGCCTTCTAATCCTGCCCTTTCCCTCCATAGTAGGCGTTGAATCCAGGGTCTGGAATACCTTAGGCAAGCGTTCTACCTGAGCTTCATCCCCAGCCCTTTCTATTTTGAAGCAGGGTTTCACTAATTTTCCCCAGGCTGGTCTCCAATTTGCAATCGTCCTGCCTCAGCCTCCCAAGTAGCTGGGATCACAGACACCGGGACTGGCTTGTTTGTGTGGACTTCCAAAAATTATTTTTGTTTTATTTTACAATTCTAGAGTTAGCATGGCAGTGAAAAATGGCTTACTCACAAAGGAAGCAGAAGCGAAAACTGTTAAAAGCTTCCTATTTCTTCTTAGCCAGAGCATAAAGACAGACCTTAATACTGACACACATCATAGAGGGTGCTGACACAGCTTAGAGGAAAACGCAAACCCCAGGATGCTGCTAGGGTTACCAGTTTACGTCGGTCCGTTCACGGTATAGAGACAGTAACTTTCTCATGATTGTCATGACATAACGTTAGATAAAAGCAAGGCAAATACTAGGGCTACATTTGAGGGAGGTCCAAGGAAATGTTGAAGGCTTTATTGTTTTGGGATCGGATTAGGTCAGGATGACTCTGCAGTTTGGAGATTTTCTCGTGTTTAGTTTAGTCACACTGGAAGGACGCAAAAGGCCAGACTTCACTTTTACACACCATCAATCCCCAACCTGTCAGCCCCCGGGCGTCAGGTCGCTGACCTGACTTCTGCGC